TATATATATATATATATATATATATATATACATATATGGATGTATGTGTGTGTGTGTGTGTGTGTGTGTGTGTGTGTGTTTTAATATAATCAATATAATTAATAAAGCATTGGATAAATATTCATATTAAGTGTTTACCTTATCTCCGATAATCTCGTTTTCGCGATCTTCGTGATTGTCACCGCTGTAAGTGCGCTCGGAAGTATTCTTAATGGAATCATATACATTGCAACCAAACTTTCCTTGCCGGCACTCCGTCGATCTCGCGAAAGCTTTACAGCGCGATGTCTCACAGCCATGAACTGTTGTGGATAGTCGCGGTGAACAACCGCCTTTGTTTGATTTCTCAGTCTTCGCGTCGTAAGTAGTACCACTTACAGCCTGATTCACGTGATGTGCCACAGATCGCGAGTCGATGACCCTTGGTCGCACGTAACCACATCCGTCCAGCTATCGGACAATCGAATCGTATATTTTCCGTATAAATACGTTGAACTTACATGTCGTAGAAATATTCTTGCTATTTTGGAGTTATACTAACATCAGACTGTACGTTGATACTCTCCGCTTCCGGATCTGGCCACATAGTAATTTCTCCTTCGTCAGTAGGGAGTACGTCATATTTAGGCGTGGGCTCACAAATCACATCAGGGTCCTTCATAAAATGAAAGAGGGATATTCAGTTTTATCTTGTTTAGTTGCTGTTGGAATAAAAATTCCACCATGTTTCATAATGTTCAAAGTTTCGATTATGCTTACCTGCAAACAGTAACCGATCCTCTCGACAATATTAGAGAAACTTGGTCTGCGATCGGGTTGTGGATGCCAACATTTCATCATAATACCATAAATCGGATCCGGGCAACCAACGGGTTTTTCTAGACGACCACCTGCCTTCACCATTGATATCACATCATGATTCCCACATCCTATGTAGGGTGTGTATCCGAACGACATAATTTCCCATAACAGGACGCCGAAGGACCTATGAGCCGATTTTACGTTATGACTTCCTTCCGTCGGTAACGTAGGGATAATCATTTGGGTAATTATTCACTTTACGGGAAACATCTCCGATGACCTTGACTTTGATATATGTTATAAAGGTCAACCTCTTGAATAACTTTGGGAAGGTTTTAGTCGTCTCTCGTTGATTGTAAAAAATTATTAATAAAAGAAGTTGCACAAAGTGAACGTAATTTTTGGACACAGTATATACAAAAATATCGAATTTGTAGGCTAGGAATTTATAGGTGCTTAGCCCTAGCCATGTGACTGCGGGGCTGTATGAGGCGGGGGGAGGAGAAGCGCAATCTTTTCTGTGAGAAATGCTCACTCTTTAGAAAATACATCTTTTTTCATAAAATTTCTAAAATATACATTTTATATGTATAGTGTGAAGAAACTACACTATATTTGTGAAAATTTTGTTTATAACTTTGAGCTTAAGCATAAAAGACTACGCCTTTCCCTTCCGGCCCGGTGCGAGGGGTCTGGGGGGCGTAGCCCCCAGTCACATAGCTAGGGATAAACACCTTCTTAGCTCACGATGTTTTTGTATATCCGTACAAAAGTTACCTTTTAAAACGAAGGTGAAAAAAGAATCCAAATGCACACACTTTGTCTTGCTTGACAAAAATATTATAAAAAAAAGTTATTAGTAAAATTTTCACAAAAAGAAATGATATCAAATGATTTACGCTAAGTGAAATTAATTTTATACACAATAAATATTGTTATGACTACTTTATATGTATGAACACTACATTAGGTATCTACTGACTTTATTTCCTGATAATTACATAGAATTGGGAAAAAATAGTTTTTAAAACCTTATTTAGTAAACATACAAAAATAAAAATTTTGGGAAAAGTTAAATAAAATTTCATACGCACACAAAAAATCACTTGACGTGCCAAAAATTGTGTAAAATTTCACACGCAAACACGAAACACTTGGCGTGTCCATTCTTTTAATGCTATTCGTATAACATATGCTCCAAAGATTTTCGTAAAGTATTAATGCGATTCCCTCTGGCACGCCAAGTGTTTTTTGTATGCGTGTGAAATTTTTTTTAACTTTTCCCAAAATTGTTATTGTATGTTTACCAAATAAGCATCTAAAAACTATTTTTTCCCAATTTTGTGTAATTATCAGAAAATAAAATTAGTAGATACCTAATGTAGTATCATAGATACTGTAGATAAAATAGTTATAATAATATTTATTGTGTATAAAATTAATTTCACCTAGCGTAAACCTTTTGATACAATTTCTTTTTGTGAGAATTTTACCAATAACTTTTTTTATAATATTTTTGTCAAGCGAAGCAAAGCGCGTGCACTTGACTTCTTCTTTTATCTTTGTTTTAAAAGGTAACTTTTGTACGAATATCACTCCTTTTTGTATAACTATTAATAATCGTAATCAAACTACAATATATTAAAGAAATATTTTTAATTATTATTTGGTTGCAAAATGAGACATTTGTTAATGAAGCGGCAACCTGATTTTGCTTAATTTTGATACCTACAACTTAGTTAATAAATTGCGTATTGGTCCGAAATTGTTACCATGTTTGGTTGCAAAATGAGACATTTGTTAATGAAGCGGCAACTTGAGTTTATTTAATTCCGACGCCTACAACTTATTGAAAAAATTGCAAGTCCGTCTGAAATCGCTATCATATTTGGTTGCAATTATTGTATATATTATATTGCATACAATTCGTAGAGTAAAAGCACTAAAAGTAACATACCACTTTACTTTTGGAGGTTATGTATTAATGTAAAGTTCAAAATATAAATATAAATATATGTACATGTAGTTGGAAATACCCCCTATCAGATAATATCATATTTTGACTAAAAATGTTTCTAGATTTAAAATAAAAAATGTTTTTGTAAAACGCACGAAAATGAAGTTCAAAGAAAATGGGTGCCAAAACCGGCATAGCTATTGGAAGTTATATATTTAACATGTTGTATATATGATAATATTTGATAATAAATAGTTCATTAATGCGTTCAATGGTTGAATAATATTTATTTATTCAAAATATAATGTTACAAATAGGAGATATTATTAAGTAAAAACATATCTTTGGCATTTCCATCTTTTTCATTTCTCATATATTTTATATGTTATATTTTTAAACTAAACAAAATTAAACATATACAATATAAGTTACGTCACATTGGCTGCGTTCAGTAGAACACAACGGTTGCACAACTGTTTTATGATTTTCTGCTGAACGGTATTTAACGCATTTAGTTGCGCAATATGTTTACATGGCGGTCGCCATGTTTTTCAGCAAACTGAAAGTACGCTGAATTCAAGCACAACGTGTTGAGCAAGATGGATACCTCCAGTTTTATTAAAGCACAATATACATGTAAAGATATAATATATAATATTATGGATACTATAATTTAAATTAAAATATAATATCCCTAACAAATACATCCTCAGAATATTCTACGAATATCATAAAAGTATATTACATATATTCTCAGAATATTCGAAATATGTTACTGCAAATACTGAGAACATACTAAGAACATTCTTATGTTACCTTTTCCTTGCTTCTCAGTATATACTGAGAATATCGTCTAAGATATTATAGGAATATCTATGGGATGTCCTCAGTATATTCACCTATACACCCTAATCTATATATATACTCATACCCACACATGTGTACAATCAGCGCGCGCGCGCGCTCACATATAGGTTAAATTAGGTTAAATTGGGTTAGATTAAATAAATATACATCATAATTCTTTCTAAAGCTAAATTCATCTTGCACGCTTTCATACAGAAAGTATCATTCTATCTTCCTTCAGCGTGTAATGAATGAAAAAGATAGAATGATGCTTCCAGCACGAAAAGATGACGTGCAAGACGATTTTGGCCTAAACCCTAATAACTAAGTCTGCTGGAAATAGATTTTGCATGTTGCAGGTTTTGTAAACAGAATGGCGTTAGAATTGTTACGGGCTCTGTAGTATAAAATAATTTCAACAGAATGCCAGCAGTATTTAGACAAGATCTGTTAAACAGGTTTGATAGCAGACTGACAGCAGAATTTAAACAAAACCTACTTAGCAACCTGATAGCAGATTGGCAGCAGAATCGGAGCAGATCATGCCGTGTGTAGTCTGACGGCAGATTGACGGCAGAAACGCAGCAGATTCTGCCGTATGCAGTCTGACGGCAAATTGGCGGTAAAAACACAGCAGATCTTGCCACTTTTATGTCCTTTATCTTCGTCCTCTTAGTACTTCAAGGAAGCGTCTCTCAGTCAAAGTGTCAGTGGTGTAGTAGATAAGATAAACGACTCAAGAACCAGAGATTCGAATCTCAGCAATGGTAAGCAAATTTTCGAAGTATAATTTAACTTGAATTAAGCGTGTAAAACAATAAAGTTAAAGAAAATTAAAGAAAATTTCAGAAAAACAAAAATTTAAGAAAAATTCAGGAAAAAAAAAGTATATATAAATGTATATATTTTAATAAATATTTTTATAATATTTATGAGGTCACAAAAATATTTATGAAATATTTTGGTAAGTATTAGATAAATCGGAAAGTTCCGTCCATCTAACGGCGAGTAGCTATAGCTATAACTGTCAGTAACTCTAAAGTTTAAACCAAGCTTAATTTTTTAGTTTAACCATCTGTCAATAAAATCCAGTATATAAATGTATACGTTCGCATCAATAACATTGTTTCTTACTGCATCGAAAATGTCAAAATTTGAACCAAATAAGCGTCATTTGCGCGAAGTATTAATCTTTTGCTTCGAATGGAAGAAAACTGCAGCTGAAGCTCATCGAATGCTTGCAGAAGTTTATGGTGATAATGCTCCTTGCGATAAAATATGCAGAGAATGGTTTCAACGCTTTAAAAGTGGTGATTTTGATGTGGAGGACAAAGAGCATTCTAGACGGCCAAGAGCATTCGAAGACGAAAAATTGCAGGCATTGGTGGATGAAGACCCATGTCAAACGCAAAAACAACTTGCAGAAGCTTTAAATTGTGTTCAATCTGTCACTTCCGATCGTTTGAAAACCTTGGGAATAGTATTGGGAAAACCTTGGGAAAAGTACAAGAAAGGAAAATGGATCCCATATGAACTGAAGTCAAGAGATATTGAAAGGCGAAAAATCATTTGCAAAATTCTGCTTGCTAGGCAACAAAGAAAGGAGTTTTTGCACTGTGTCATCACTGGGGATGAAAAATGGATATATTTTGACAAACCCAAACGTCGATAAACCATTTGCGACCCCGGCCAATCCTTAACATCGACGTCAAAGCGAAATATCCACGGAAAGAAGGCAATGCTCTATATTTGGTGGTATCAGAAGAGTGTTGTGTACTATGAGTTGTTAAAATCTGGTCAAACAGTCACAGGGCATCTCTACCGAGAACAAATTATCCGTTTGAGCCGAGCATTGCACAAAAAACGATCAGAATATGAAACAAAACAGCATAATGTGATTTTGCTTCATGACAACGCTCGGCCTCACGTCACAAAACTTGTCAAGGAAACGTTAAAAGCGCTTCGCTGGGAAGTGCTACCCCATGCGGCTTATTCACCAAACTGCCCCTTCCGACTACCACTTGTTTCGATCGATGGCACCTGCACTTGCTGAGGAACGCTTCAATTCTTATGAAGACATCGAAAAATGGGTCTCTGACTGGATAGCCTCCAAAGATGAGTCATTCTCTTGCCGCGGAATTCGCTTGCTGCCCGAAAGATGGGAAAAGGTCATCGCTAACGATAGACAATATTTTAATTGATGTATTTTTTCATTTTCTTTCTTAAATAAAACCATACATTTTACAAAAAAACGGACGGAACTTTCCGATTTACCTAATATTTATAAAATAATCAAATAAATTTTATAAATATTTTGTAAAGGTTTTATAAATATTTTGTGTTGTCTGGGTGTTTCTGCTGTCAGACTGTGCACGGCAGGA